GATGTGAAGGTACTAAATTTAATCTCCAGTATTTCAAACAAACAACTAAGGACTAGGGTTACACCTTTGTGGTAAAGTGCCTGCCTCGCATTTTCAAGGCCCTGGCTTCAATCCTCAGGGTGTACACACGTACACATACACCCCAAATGAGTATGTGGGATACAACAGGTACTAAATGAATGCAAAAATCATTATTGGTATTAAGTGACAAAGATGAGCTATTGTAAAAACAACAATGAAAGCCAAGAATAATAACCACTAAGCTCCCTCAGACACTCTTACCTAAATGAAATGAAAAAACTAAAACTCAAACTAAGGCAGGAGTTAGCTAAAGAAAAGGCTACAGAAAAAAGGGAGGTCCGCCAGCCTTAAAGCCCACGTTTTGAGCTAGATGTGAGGCATAAGGTAACCAAGAGAACAGCTGGTACGAAGAAAGAAGAGCCTGCCTTGTAGCCCACTTTCTGGGATTAGATCTGAGTTAAACATCAGCCCAGGACCAGGATGCCCTGGTGTAAACACAAGGGAAAACATAACCAAGTATCTATCATCTTATACAGAACAAGTTCCCAGGCATGTACCCAGTGGTCTTCTAAAACCCTTCTGACCCCAGCTCTAATTACCATGTCTTTGACTATGCAGATTTGACCGATACAAATCCGGCTTATACACCCCACCATGGTCTTTGGACACCAAGACAGCTCTTGAAGGGGCCATAAACGGTCAAAAACTCCACTGCCTGACATAAAGGAGGAAGTCAGGCCACTCACAGGCCATAGTCACACCTCAACCTAAACCCGCAATCCCACCCTAAACCCTTAGGTTTAAACTCTCCACACCAAGCTCCTTGGGAGCCATGACCTCTTCTCACTGGGCCAGTCCCACTCTATGCCGTGTATCTTGTCTTTCCTCTTTTAAATCAATCACTGATCCTGCTGCTACTCCTGGGTGGCCTTCTCAATTCTTTGTTTACCACATCAGGAATCTGAACAAGACTCTCAAGCCCGTAACAAGACCATCACGGCCACACCAGAGTAAGAAATACCAGGGTTCCTTGACCAATCAGCAAGACTCATCCTAAGCACAGAGGATACAGGCTGGATCATCCATGTCTGGTTCCGCTGTGTCAAAAAATGGGTGGGTGCTCAAGAGCTCCGGTACCAAAGGAAGCACCAGAGTTGGATGCCGACTTCCGAGAAACTTCAAGCATCTGAAACAAACAAATGAGAATGCACTTCAGTAAATTAGTAAGTGCCTTTTAAAAATAGCAGGAATTAGAATCAGAAAACCTGATGTAGAATTACAAATCCTCAACTATTTTTGCTAACTCTATGACTTTAGGTAAGCCATCCCATTATTCTGGAAATTCAGTTAATTTATGTAAAAATGGTTAAAACATTCAGGAGGGTGAAGCAGGAGGATCACTTCGAGTTTGAGGCCAGCCTAGATTACATAGTGAGTGCAAGGCTAGCCTGAATTACAGAGTGAGACCCTGTCTCAAAAAAGGAAAACAAAATGGTTTTATGAAAATAAAAGAGCTACTATGGCAAACTACTGTTTATTTAACCATTTAAGCAACAACCACTTCCTTCCTTTTCCTTGCAGAACCCTGATTTTCCTCAGGTATCAGGTAGGCAGCAAAGTTTCACTATTAGTCTAAACCAGTGGTGGTGAACGCATGCCACGCATGCCATGGTGGGCACTCAGAGCCCTCTCAGTAGGCACACAAGCCAAGTCACCCCAGCATCAGATAACAGCGCACCAAAGCAAGCCCAATGCAAACTTTTACCTTTCAATTAAAAGTTGTTTGTATCATTGAAAGCTCTGCTATTGTGTTTTTCTTTTAAGACAAAAGATATTAATGTATGAGTTGTTTTTTCTCAACTAAAACTTCAGTATTCAGGTTTAACTGAAATGTTGGTACTTTGTGACAAATAAGTAGGTTTTTTCCAGGCATGGTGGTGCATGCCTGTCTGTAATCCCAGCACTTGGGAGGCTAATGCAGGAGAATCGTTGCAAGTTCGAGACTAGCCTGGGCTACAAAGTGAGCTCAAGGCCAGACTGAACTGCAGAGCGAGACCATGTCTCAAAAAGACTAAATAAATAAATAAATAAATAAGTGGGTTTTGGGTTGCAGTTTGGGCACTTGATCTTTAAAATGTTCGCCATCACTGACCTAAATGATCATAGCCATCCCTTCTCATTTTCTCGTGACTGGTTTGCTGATCAGCAAGTAACCCAGTTTTCACTGAAGCAAGAGGCAAAATCTGCATGGTAGCCTCTCAGGAATGGTTTGCTAATCAAATAAAAAGAGAAATGCAAGAAAAGGAATGGCCCTTCTGATATTTTCTTATGACACAGTTATCCTGCAATCCAAGAGAACCACAGAGAAATCAACCAGGACTCTAAGCCTGTCAAAGATTTGAATGACCAATACTAAAACCATCTTCTCACTTCTTTTTATGTAAAAAATTAGACTTTATTATTCAAGATGTTTTAAACTGGATTTTTTTCTGTAATTTGTAGTCAAAGACATTCTAACTGATATTTTGGATAGGGTCCTGAAATCAGACCAGGTTTGAAACCGCATAGCCTTGGACAAGCTGTTTCATTGTTATAAAATGGAATTAAAAGAATTACATGATAGGGGCTGGGGATTTAGCTCAGTGGCACAGTGCCTGCCTGGCAAGCACAAGGTCATGAGTTCCGATTCCTGGTATGGGGGGGGGGGAATTACATGATAGAGTTGTTACAAAGATTAAATGAGATAACAAGGAATCTCTCAGATACCATAGTAAGAACTCAATATATGTTGGCTACTACTACTACAGGAAGGCCCTTTGGAAGCTATAAAGAACTACCCAAGGAAGGGTGCAGTGGCACCTGCAATCTTAGCTACTCTGCAGACTGAAGCAAGAGGGTGCAAAGTTGAAGGGCAGCACAGGCAACTTAGTGAGACCTTATCTCAAAATAAAATTAAAAGGGCAAAGTAACATAATCAAAATATATTATGTGAGCCAGGCATGGTGGTGCACACCTGTAATCCCAGCACTCACGAGGCTGAGGCAGGAGGATCTTTGTGAGTTCGAGACCAGCCTGGGCTACAAAGTGACCTCAAGACCAGCCTGAACTGCAAAGCAAGACCTTGTCTCAAAAAGACCAAAAAAACCCAGAAATTATATGCATCAAAGTGCCCCCAAAATGTGAAACTACACAGCCAGTTAGGCAACAGGGTGATAGAGGGTAAGAATGATCAAAGTATGTTACATACATATACAAATCTCCAAAGTGAATCCTGTTAATTAATCTGTATAATATGTACTAATAAATACACTCTGGTTTCTCTTCAGATCATATAAATCTTTTGCCTTTTACTAGTAAATAAATATGAAAAAGATTTTAAAGATGTGAAACAAAAACAAAAAAATATAAATAATTTTTTTTTTTAAATTTTCAGTTTGAGGGCTGGGGATTTACTCAGCGGCACAGTGCCTGCCTGGCAAGCGCAAAGTTGTGAGTTCGATCCCCAGTACCAGAAAAAACAAAAAACAAAAAAAAAAAAGCAACAAAAAATTGTTTTTGTTTGATTCCCAGTACCAAAAAAAAAAAATTAAATTTTAAGAAAGGACGTTTTGGGCTGGGGATATAGTTCAGCAGCGTAAGTGCTTACCTGGCAAGCCTGAGGTCATGAGTTCTATTCCAGGTAGCAAAAAATAAAAAATAAAATACAAAGGATGTTTTTAAAAATGGATGTTAAAAGAAAGATGTTATGGCGGCCTGTGTCTAGATATCCCCCTAAAGCCACATGCAATCACAGGTGGGGGTTTTCAGAGGTGGCTGGATCTAGAGTGTGTTGATACTAGGATTGAGTTTCTAACACAGGGATTAAGGTGATTACTAAATTAGTCCACTGGCCTTGGCTTGGCATAGTTCTTCATCACTTGCTGCTGCTTCTTCAATACATCGCTGCTTTGTTGCCGTCTGCCCACCATGAACTATTTCTTCTCTGTGATGCCCCTTTGCCATGCCACCCTGCTTTGCAGCCAGTCAACTATGAACGGAAACCTCTACAAACTTTGAGCTATAGTAAACATTTCCTCCTTTAACTTTGAGTGTTGGTTATTTTGTCTCAGCAACAAGAAAAAAGTAACTAACACAGGGAATGTAGCTTAGCAGTACAGCACTTTTGAGATCAATCCCAGTATCACATACACATACATGCATACACACACACATACCCCTACACAAGCAAAGTAATCTTATGTTTCTATTACATTTATTTCCTAAGTCTGGCTTACAAGCAGCACTGAATTGAAGAGAAATATAAATCTTAACCTTTGTCCTCAATGAATTTATAATCCATCTGAGGCAAAGACCAGCACTACAACATAATAAACTATCAAATGAAAAACCTGGCAAAGGTAGAAGGGATCATTATGATCAGATAAAATTTCACACAGCAGAACTTCACCAGGGACTAAAGAACAGGTAGATCAGAAGAGATAAAGCAAATGCTGTACCATGAACAAATTCAGGAATACATGGGGTATGGAAGACATCTCCATTTGATTTTGATAGGAAAGTACTCTTTCCTAACCTGGTGGCTTTCCTTCTATGTGGAAAGAAATCCATTTCCTGGTCTCCCTCAGCTCTTCCACTCACTGAGCCCCATAGGAGTCTGGCCTCCAGGCGCCATTCTCTGTATTTGCTCTCTCATTCTTATTCAGAACTCAGGTAGGAAACATCAGGGCTATTAATTGGGTTCCCTTAGAGACCCCTACACAGCAGGGCTTCTCTAAAGCTAGACTTTAACTCTGGCTTGTAATACAGTTAATTTACTACTTCATCTACTTTCCTATCTGTGTATTTCCTACTTCTTTCCCCTCCTGCAATATGAGGGCTAGGTCTCTGAGTCACTCTGTTTTTAAATCTCCACAGCACCTAACACAGGAATCAGGTGATAAGTGCTCAGTAAGCATTTGTGGAATGAACAAATTACCTCCTTTAAAATTTGCATTTATATATCTGTCTTTAGCAACATCTGTAATTATTCCTTTATCACATTCTCTTTTAATATT